AGATTTGAACCCAGATCGCCAGATTCAGAGTCTGGAGTGCTAACAGTACCTTACTAATATGTACAAGGTTCTACTGGGATTTGAACCCAGGTCGCCAGATTCAGAGTCTGGAGTGCTAACAGTACTCTACTAGTGGGTACAAGGTTCTACCGGGATTTAAACCCAGATCGCCAGATTCAGAGTCTGGAGTGCTATCCGTTACACCATAGAACCGAACCACATACTTCGTGCTGTTGACCAGGCGGATGTCCTGCAGATAGCAAAACGCATCACAGCACCCTACTAATATGTACAAGGTTCTACCGGGATTTGAACCCAGATCGCCAGATTCAGAGTCTGGAGTGCTAACAGTGCCTTACTAATATGTACAAGGTTCTATCGGGATTTGAACCCAGATCGCCAGATTCAGAGTTTGGAGTGCTAACCGTTACAACATAGAGCCGAACCACACACATCTTGCTGTCGACCAGGCGGATGTTCTGCACACAGCAAAACGCGTCTACTCTACCTTACTAATATGTATAAGGTTCTACCGGGAACTGAACCCAGATCGCCGGATTCAAAGTCTGGAGTGCTAACCGTTACACTACAGAACCGAACCACACACTTTGCTCTGTTGACCAGGCGGGTGTCCTGCACATAGCAAAACGCGTAACATCACCCTACTAATATGTACAAGGTTCTACCGGGATTTGAACCCGGATTGTCAAATTCAAAGTCTGGAGTGCTAACAGTACTCTACTAGTGGGCACGAAGTTCTACCGGGATTAGAATCCAGATCGACAGATTCAGAGTCTGGAGTGCTAACCGTTACACCATAGAACCGAACCACATATTACGTGCTGTTGACCAGGCAGATGTCCTATACATGGCAAAACGCGCCACATTACCCTACTACTCGGTGCAAGATTCTACCGGGATTCAAACCCAGATTGCCAGATTCAAAGTCGGGAGTGCTAACCGTTACACTCTAGAACCGAAGCCTGTGTACTGTGCTGCTAATTTGTTAAGTGTCCTGCGCATGGTAAAACGCGTAACATCACCCTACTAATATTTACAAGGTTCTACCGGGATTTGAACCAAGATAGCCAGATTTAGAGTCTGGAGTGCTAACCGTTACACCATAGAACGAACCACACACTTCGTGCTGTTGACCAGGCGGATGTCCTGCAGATAGCAAAACGCGTCACAGTACCCTACTA